GGTAAAGCCGAAAGGGCCGCTAGACCTAACAGGCCCCTGCTAAGGCCCCCGCCACCACGTCAGCCATTAAGAAAGAGGTTGACATGGATCAGAAAAAATGTGCCAGAAGATGATGAAACTCCAAAAAGATTCATCAGTCAAAGGTAAGGCAACCTTGTATTTAACAAAAAATCGCATGTTCTTCTCATTCGCTGAGGGTTTAACGCATTGGTTCTTCTTTCAACAAAATGACGAACTGGGAGTTTTTATGTTTTATATAAAGGTACTCTGAGGGAAGATTACTCATGTTGAATATTTGTTTTGGCAAGGATTGCTGTTTGCTTAGATTACATGAAGAAAACATTCTTCTGTCTTTCTGTCATTTGTTTCATCAGGCCCTTTTGAACAAGATTCAAAAGTATGAAACTTTACAGAAACTAGAGTTGCATATTAGTTAAAAAATCATAGGATTTACTGAGCAAATATTTCAAAAGCCGAATTGCCCAAATAGACGATTGATGTTAAGTACCAGAGAATTAGATGGAAATAGCTTCTGTCTTGAGTTTATAGCAGCAAGGGAAAACGCCCTGAAATTTGAAATTGCTTTATGTTTAAAAATTGGCAAATGTAAAACAGTGTAAAACTCACCAAGCTGTTGTTTTAATAAACCCATTCATCTTTTAAATTATTTCCAAGATCTTTAGCACCAGGAACAGTCCCTTGAAGGCTTTCGTGCCAACTTATTGTTTGTTCATATATTGCTTGAAATCTCTGATGTTAGTTGCTACATGGTCTAAAAGTTGTAAAAGAATATATTTTTACCGAAATTTTTCCGTGCCTTAAGGGCTGCAAAGATGACAAACGAAACATCAGCAATCCATTTAATTGTGACACATCTTTTTGCATGTTGACTCGTCAAATGTGGAAGAGTTCATGTCAAAACTCTCTGATCCAGATCCCTCTGTCAGTAAGCGTCCGAAGTGTTATCAGAACGAACAAAAACACAGAAACACCAAAACAATCGGAGGAAGATAGAAGCTGCCCAAGAATGCTAAAAATGCAACCGAGGTCGGTCTCTACGCCACCAGAAAAAGACCGGTCTCTACCGCCTCCCGAAAGGGCGATACCTTAGTATCCTAAAAGTACTCATCTGCGCAAGTTTGGCCTTCGCATCCGATGATATGCTGCACGGTTATGGAAACAGGCAGTGCTTTCTCGGCTTATCGCAGCAAGCGTGTACCTTGCTAGGCCTAAGCAAACGGCCTGTTTCAAGCATTAATGCTAATTTGAATGATTCCCAAAACTAATCAGTTAACAGGACCGCAAAAGCTGCGAGCTTTTAAGGAGCGGCCCAAGGCGCCTCCGCGGCCAGTTAAACTAGAAACTCAAGCACAAAATGTAACATAGAACCCACCACAGCTTCCCCCAAAGAAAGGCCCCCGCCAGCAGAGTCACCATATCTAAGCCACTAATATACCTAACGTCATCTAGAGAGAAGGAGCAGTAAGATCTACAAGCCGATGATATGTATGCTTTCCCATTGACGATACAGCAAAGCGAAGTTAAACGCGCGTGTTTGGAAGTCTCTGGATTTCATTTCTAGCCCACCTCATACCAGCAAGGAACCAAGCAGGTTTGTCGCCAAATGGATCAGACTTGTGGCGGCTGGCAGTGGGAAGCTTGCAGTAAAAATGATTATAAAAACTCACGCTGTTTGATAAGACGTGAACGGCTTGAAGAAAATGTTGCCAGGAATTGCCTCCAAGTGTCTGAATTGCCTATTCGACAGTTTAGAAACAGCAGCAGCAACAGCTCGTTCTGGTATTACTGTGGATAGCCCACCAGAGTTTCTTGGTGAAACTGGCAACGTCGCAAGTTGTGATGAAATCTCTTTAACCTTGGATTATCCGGAGTCTGATCCCCTCAGCTATGTATTCAACAGTGAACAAGCCCTGTAAGCCCAAAATCGGCCCATAGTATCCAGAGTGATGACCAATGCAACAGCGAAGCTTTCACAGAGGGTCCCATTAAATGAAGACACCGCACCCCCATTACCCCAAGAACTGAACAAGCGGCAGGGTTAAAAAGGCACCCCCCTTTGCCCCCTAGGCATCAGTTGACAAATGGCATGTGATTCCTATGGTGGCCTGGATATTTTCAATAAATCAAAGACGTTCCTTGCCTTTTTAACCTGCGCTTGTTCAGTCTTTGGGGGTAATGGGGTGCGGTGTCTTCATTTAATGGGACCTCTGTGAAAGCTTCGCTGTTCAAGTTGGTCATCAACTCTGGATACTATAGGCGTGGCTTACAGGGCTTGTTCACTGTTGCATACATGCTGAAGCATCAGACTCCGGATACTCCAAGGTTAAAAGATTTCATCAACACTTGACGACGTTGCCAGTTCACCAAGAAACTCTGGTGGGCTATCCACAGTAATACCAGAACGAGCTGTTGCTGCTGCTGTTTCTACTTCGAAATAGGCAATTCAGACCTTGGAGGCAATTTCTGGCAACATTTTCTTCAAAGCCGTTCACGTCCTTATCAACAGCGTGATTTTTATAATTCATTTTCTGCAAGCTTTCCCACTGCCAGCCGCCACAGTCTGATCCATTTGCGACAAACCTGATTGTTCCTTGCTGGTAGAGGTGGCCTAGAAAATGAAATCCGGAGACTCAAACACGCGCGTTTAAACTTCGACTTTTGCTGTATCGTCAATGGAAGCATACATATCATCGGCTTGTAGATCTAACTGCTCTTTCCTCTCTAGATGACGTAGGTAATAGTGGCTTAGATAATGGTGACTCTGACTGCGGGGGCCTTCTTGGGGGAAGCTGTGGTGGTTCTATGTTACATTTTGTGCTGAGTTTCTAGTTACTGGCGCGGAGGCGCCCTTGGCCGCTCCTTAAAGCTCGCAGCTTTGCGTTCTGTTAACTGATTAGTTTTGGGGACATCATTCAAATTAGCATTAATGCTTGAAACAGGCCGTTGCTTAGGCCTAGCAGGTACACGCTGCTGCGAAGCCGGAAAGCACTGCCTGTTTCCATACCGGCAGCAATATCATCGGATGCGAGGCCAAACTTTGCGCAGATGATACTTTAGTGAATACTAGGTCGGCCTTTCGGGAGGCGTAGAGACCGGCTTCTGGTGGCGTAGAGACCGACCTCGGTTGCATTTTAGCATTCTGGCAGCTTCTATTTCCTCCGATGTTTTGGTGTTTTCTGGTGTTTTTGGTTTCGTTCTGATAACACTCGGACGCTTACTGACGAAGAGGATCTGGATTCAGAGAGTTTTGACATAACTCTTCCACATTTGACGAGTCAACATGCAAAAGATGTGTCACATTAAAATGGATTGCTGATGTTTTCGTTGTCATCTTTGGCAGCCTAAGGCACGGAAAAAATTTCACGGAAAATAAAATATATGCTTTAAACTTTTAGACATGTAGCAACTACATCAGAAGATTCAAGCAATATATGAAACAAAACAAAAAGTTGGCACGAAAGCTTCAAGGGACTGTTCCTGTGCTAAGATCTTGAAATAATTTAAAGATGATGGGTTTATTAAAACAACAGCTTGGTGGAGTTTTACACTGTTTTACATTGCAATTTTAACATAAAGCAATTTCAAATTTAAGGGCGTTTTCCCTTGCTGCTATAACTCAAGACAGAAAGCTATTTCCATCTAATTCTCTGGTACTTAACATCAATCGTCTATTGGGCAATTCGCTTTTGAAAATATCTTGCTCAAGTAATCCTATGATTTTAACTATATGCAACTCTAAGTTTCTGTAAGTTTCATACTTGATCTTGTCAAAAGGGCCCTGATGAAACAAATGACAGAAAGATCAAGAGAATGTTTTCTTCATGTTCTCTAAGCAAACAGCATCCTTTGCCAAAACAATATTCAACAGAGTATCTTTTCCTCAAGAGTACCTTAATATAAACAATAAAAACTCCAGTTCGTCATTTGTTGAAAGAAAAATGGAAACCCTAAGCATGGAGAAGAACATGCGGATTTTTGTTAATACAAGGTTGCTTACTTTGACTGATGATTTCTTTGGAGTTTCATCATCTTCTGGCACATTTTTCTGATCCATGTCAACCTCTTCTTAATGGCTGGACGTGGTGGCGGGGCTTAGCAGGGGCCTGTTTAGGTCTAGCGGCCTTTCAGGCTTTACCCTTTTCGCTTTTTGACTTAAGGATCAAATTCGCTAAAGGAAGTCTGCGATCGTAATATGTTTATTATCTTTTTTCAGGAACAACTTATAATCTTTCGAACAAACTGCTGCGTCATTAATTGGTGTCGCACTGTTTGGTCGAGGCGGTTTTGTTGGCGCAGATGGCGCTTTGGTGAGCAGCTGGCCGCTTAGGAGGATTTGAAGGCGCCTGTGGAGGATTAACAGGCCTTGCCGGTGATGCCTTAGAGCCGTTCCTCAGTATTCTTTCTCTTCTTCCTCATCACTATCCACCATTTCTTCTGGCGTTTAAGAATTATTTCCTGGGAATCTCCTTCCAGAAGTTCCTCACCTGAATCGGAATCTCCCTCTAAAGAAATCGTCGACAGAGCGAGTCTCGTCGTCGTCATCATCAAGGAAGTTGGCCTGCTCGCTCAGTTTTCGGGTAGAAGGATCGAATTCGATCGAGTTTTCGCCGCGAATGTGTAAGCAGCTCAGAGAGAGTAAAACCATGCTCGTCGGTCTCACTGTCATCGTCGTTTCCAAGAGAAACTAGGGCATGGATGGAGGGTTCGGTTTTGGACAAGTCTCCGCGCTTTTTAGGCTCACGAGAATGGGGACATCGTCCAGCTGTACGTGTAGCAGAAGAGAAAACAAGAATTGTATGAAAAAAATATCATTTAATTCGAGGCACTGTGAATATCAAGGCGTTGTGAACTGAAAATTCACTTGTGGTTTTTTTTAAAAATCACAACTACTATATGCAAGGAGAAAACATGAAAATGGAAAAACATAGAAATAAAATCACAAACACACGAACATTTTGCTCTAAAACTTAGAAATAGGTTTCAAAGATGCTATTTAAAAAAGGATAAAAAAGAGGACAATCAAACAAGTTACTAAAAACCAGAATACAGAGTCTACGATGCGCTTATACTTGATGCAATATGGGTTGCCAAACTCATTTGAAAAAGCTAGGATTAAACCAACCATTTTTGCCACTTAGCTCAAGCGCTGCAAGTGCACTCTGCCATCTTCTAAGTCAAAAGTATCTGGTCCTCACAGCCCTGCAAGGTCAAACAGAGAATTAGTACACCGCGGTTTTCAACAAAATGATTACGCATCATAATATGTATAATACATGTCTTAGAAGATAATTTTCCTGGGCAAAATAACTAAAAAGTAGAGGGGCCATCTCCTGTTCTTGCTGCTGCATGCCAATAGCTTTCTGTTTGGTTTGGATTAAGAGGAGGCATGCATCGAAATCTTTAGCCAAATTTAGATTTCGAAAAAACTCTTTAAGCCACTTTACGAGAATTGGCTCACCTAATATCTGCGACGAATGGGCTATTTTCGACATCCACAAGTATTTTGATATATCATGATTCAATGACATGATATATTGGGCGAGTCTCATATTGTCTTGTCTTATATACGACAAATTGGCATTACAATCCGTAACCAACCGACATAGTAATGAGGATCCGAATTATGCAGATACCGAATAAAGCCTAGAAAGATCGTTACCTGATCAAGACGATATCTCCACACTGCTGAAACACCTCCAGGGCATTTTCAACATTGATTTCGTAATCCTCTGGTAAATCACAAACACTATTATCAACTTCTATTACAAACCAGTTGGATTTGCAGGGCCAAGGGATTTCATCTTTTCATTGTGAACCTTGGCTAACTTCTTTTGATCCACGATTTGCAGTTGGATTGCAACAACAGCAATAACAGGCCTATCGCAAACAAACAATGAAATTAATTTATGCAACTAATTACAAAGTTGAAATATATCTTATAAATTACGCCATTTAACGTTGTCAACCTTGCAAGCACAGTTAGATATACTAACGGATATCACAGACGAATTCTACAGCTGGTTAAAATTATGGAGAGAAATTGAGAAAATTTTCGAGAACTTTTCAGAATTCTTCCAACGAAATTCGAAAGTGTCAAACCTGTGATCTGAGTTTTCAACTCGCTCTGCCGTAATAAAGAATTCTGCCAGGGTTCCAGGCATTGAGCGGAGTGAGCTGTAATAGCAAAGGCATTGATTACACAAATTCTTTAATCTCGATATCAAAATAAGTTAACACTATAAGCAAGCCCAGCACATTCTAGTTATCGTGGTTTTTGACTAAGTTTAAAAAAAATCATCAAAATGACTTTGTAGTTGCAAAAAATTAATCTTTCAAAAATTTCTAAAGTCGTTTGATTAGTTTCTTGTTGTATGATCAATCAGCTAACTTCTCACCTAGAATAACTTCATATATCAAAAAATAGTTTTATTGGAAGCCAGTTTTGGATATCTAGAAATTGACAATTCACAGGCCAAGCACCTGCGGACGACGTCCACATTGTAAATAAGAAAACTGTTTGTTTCAAAAAGGTAATAAAAACAAATGTGGATAAATTTCAACAACAAATTACGTTTATTTGGTGCTTAAAATTATGAGCTTGTTTTGATTCAATCTTATTTTTTCGCGACATGATTTAAAAAAAGACTAGAGCATACCGTACTGCATCTCTTTTTCTCGGTAACTGCGTCAACGTCTCCTTCCGTTTCTCGCAGTTCCGCATCGGTTCTTACTTTCTTGTACTGCTTGCGATACCAAAAGGACCCGGTCGGTCCACGCAGGCAACGCATTTTCTCACTTGTGTCATAATCATCAGAGAACAAATGCGTATTTGTAAGTTGGAGCAAATCTAACGGTCCCTCACGAAACTTTTGAAAAACTGTGAGAATTTGGGAGAAGGTTATTCCACAATCGCATTGAAATAACTTCATTGTTGGTTCAAATTAGCTAAAATACTAGGTAAAATGTCTATGTGGGTGCACATGACCCCTCCCTCAATAACCAGTACAGGCCTCTTCATCGTCTACCAACGATTGGGCCAGCCCGTCTCGCTGGTAGGTGTCCCCGCTGTCACGCCGCGCCCGTCACCCGCTGCCCATATGAAGTGCAGCCAGCCCGAACATGCACCCGTCACCCCCCGCACCCAGTCCGTACGAACCCCCTACATTCCACACACTGAGCCTCGGCAAACAGTGAATCGCCTCCCGCGATCGACATCGCCGTAAACTAAACCGTTCCACCAATTGTTTAACAATCTTGAAAGATATGCAATAGAAGTGTTCGCTCCTAAAGTGCATCCTTTGGCGAGAACAGCAGGAACACACAGGACACACTCAAGCTATGGCAGTTCCTCTTTCATTCTGGCTCAAAGAATTTCGCGACTGATTTGGTATCCTGCAAGACCCCGAGGCCCCGCGCCCGCCAGGCCGCCTCCAGGCCCCCCTCTCGCCCTTTGACCCGTGCTCCCCTGCACCCGCGTCAGCCGGCCCTTCGGGCCCGAAGCCCTGCATCGCCTCTGCTCTGTACCATTCTCAGGCCCCAGCCGTTATTTCGTCCTTTTGACTCATCTGCGATGTTCACCCCCCGTCGCCCTGCCTCATCTTAGGCCAGACTGCTCCGATTCTGCGGTACTCGTCGGGATCCCACCGCCCGAAACACCAGTAGCGGGCGCAAAATTCGTAGAAGACACACAGAGCCCTAGAAAATTTTGAACTAAAATGCCGACCCGCGCGATCAACCATGGGCAAATGCTTTGGCAACTATATGAATCAAGCCAAATTCTTCTCAACGTAAAAAATCCCAGCCCTAATAAGAGTCAACCTTTTACCGAACCGTCAGTCTTTTGGTTTCAAACACATTCACGGAAAGTTTTAACCAAATTTCGAAAATTAGGACACATTACCAGTGGAGCATGATCCTTTTCGAAAATCGTCGTCCGATCAAATCCTACTGTTCCCCATCAGCAACATTGCGAGCTGACCAGCTGGCTAAGTGGGGCGCAAACAAAGTCCACAGCGATGTTTTGAAATGGAAAAGAAGGCGAATTGCCGACGGCACCCCTTGTTCCCTGGTGCTCCCTTTTTTAAACCGGTTTCACCAGTGTCGACCCGGCAACCGATCCCCTGAAACCAAGAACGGAAGGCAAATTCTAGTCATGTTACAATACACAGAATAGGAGTTATACATTTACCGACTCGTAACGAGTGAGGACGTATTTGCTGTCATAATATACTTACTGACTTTCATCTATTTCACTATCATCGTATTCCAACGCGCCTCCAGCATAAGGTGCATCGACTAAGATATGATATTTTGCTAAATGATCACGTATAATCAGCCGATCTAATAAGTTGAGTGGCCATGATGTTTTTTAATTGAAATCACCTAATAGGGAACGGCAGATACTGCACCACGAACAAGACATATACAACAAAACCCAAACCAATTGCTCTCGGTCAAGGAGAACGTCAGGAGGTGATCCCTGGATATGACCGCTGCATCTCAAGCATTCCCCATTTCCATTCTTCTGCGATTGAATCTAAGCCAAGAAAAACACAAGTAAAAATATTTGCCATTCCCTCTTAATTTGTAGAATTTGATGAAAATCAACCAAAGAATTTTGAGGCCGAATCCACCGTTGCACCTGTAACAATAAACTGCCCTCTGTATCTGCACTGTCAAGCGTTGGGTACATTAGAGCTGGGAGTACATTAGAGTTGGGGTACACATTAGATTGGGGGTACATTAGAGTTGGGTACACAGCGTGTTGCTTTCATAGAAGTGGTATAACAGAGGGCCCCGAGGCTTAATGGCGCGTGAGGAGAGGACGCAATCAAGGAGCTCTACGCCCCGTAATAACTTCCAGTGTCCAAGACTCACTTCGCTCACACAACAAGGGTGAATACATAAACAAACAAAAGTTATATTATCTTCATAAGCAATTATTTGGACGCGAGCAAATGAAGTTGCTATAAACTATTCTGCCACTAGTATCTGTATACCTTCTTAAGCTCCCATTGGTCCGTATGAACAGAGTCATTCCGACGTCATTTAGTAGTCGAGTAACTAAACATCGCATCAACGTTTTCAACTCATTAGAAATTGAAGTGTCAATACCTGGTTGAATGATGTTATTTGCATGTCAAGTCCACAATTCCTCAATCCAATGTGCGTATATATCAGGGGTCGACAACTCAAACTCTTCCTTCTTTATCAATGACACTTCCTTCTGGTGATTCGGCATAATAATCTAACAATCCAATCGTGCATCACATGTGTTTGTAGGCAATGCTTTACGAAAATGCTTGCCTCAATTAACGATTCAGGTTCCCGCAGCACACACGAATTTCTGAGGTGATTCGTGAATACCTCTCGTGTTGGAGCAGAGCTCCTCTAAGACTTCGGCGATGCTGAACAAAATTCGAACTCGCTTATCACGTCGGCAATAGCGGCTTTTATTTGACATTCCAAAACAGGGGAGGAGAAAATGCAATTAAAGATTAACTACCAAAAAGTTTAGATATAAAGTTTTTGGATCGCTTCCCCTGTCCCAGTATTTGCAAGTAAAACTTGATCACAGCAGATTGCTATAAGTTGCATACCGAAGACAATCAAACTTACCACAAATTCGTCAATTCAAAGACGCATCTGATTATTTTATAATTGTTTAAGGACAACCTCACAATGCAAAAACGAGGCATTTCAACAGCGCCCTTGCTGTTCACCAATGCTTCCGATAAAGGTATCGCAAGAAGAAGGAAATCCCGATCGCTTCCTGTTTACTTCCATCTAAGAAGTTGTTGACGAAGGCTCTTTTAAGCTGACACTGCTCCTACGTAAACTTGCTTGCAAGCTGGAATCAAAAGAAAACATCATCACGCAAAGACACTGATTTGGAATCTACTTCTTCTCACCACCACAAGACAATATATATAAGAAACGAAGCAAGTACTAAGAAATGACTACGTACAAATCTCAACATATAATCCACAAGTGAAAGAGCAGCACTAGAGCCAGCTATTTTAAAAAATTAAACTTTCATCCTTATCGCTCACATCTACTAACACATTATTACGAACATGGATCTCCTGGGGAATGATGGTACCCTTTCCGCTTTTTGACTTAAGGGATCAAATTCGCTAAAGGAAGTCTGCGATCGTAATATGTTTATATCTTTTTCAGGAACAACTTTATAATCTTTCGAACAAACTGCTGCGTCATTAATTGGTGTCGCACTGTTTGGTCGAGGCGGTTTTGTTGGCGCAGATGGCCGCTTTGGTGGAGCAGCTGGCCGCTTAGGAGGATTTGAAGGGCGCTGTGGAGGATTAACAGGCCTTGCCGGTGATGCCTTAGAGCGTTCCTCAGTTTCTTTCTCTTCTTCCTCATCACTATCCACCATTTCTTGCTGGCGTTTAAGAATTATTTCCTGGGAATCTCCTTCCAGAAGTTCCTCACCTGAATCGGAATCTCCCTCTAAGAAATCGTCGACAGAGCGAGTCTCGTCGTCGTCATCATCAAGGAAGTTGGCCTGCTCGCTCAGTTTTTCGGGTAGAAGGATCGAATTCGATCGAGTGTTTCGCCGCGAATGTGTAAGCAGCTCAGAGAGAGTAAAACCATGCTCGTCGGTCTCACTGTCATCGTCGTTTCCAAGAGAAACTAGGGCATGGATGGAGGGTTCGGTTTTGGACAAAGTCTCCGCGCTTTTTAGGCTCACGAGAATGGGGACATCGTCCAGCTGTACGTGTAGCAGAAGAGAAAACAAGAATTGTAAAAAAATATCATTTAATATCGAGGCACTGTGAATATCAAGGCGTTGTGAACTGAAAATTCACTTGTGTTTTTTAAAAATCACAACTACTATATGCAAGGAGAAAACATGCAAAATTGGAAAAACATAGAAATAAAATCACAAACACACGAACATTTTGCTTCTAAAACTTAGAAATAGGTTTCAAAGATGCTATTCAAAAAAGGATAAAACAAGAGGACAATCAACAAGTTACTAAAAACCAGAATACAGAGTCTACGATGCGCTTATACTTGATGCAATATGGGTTGCCAAACTCATTTGAAAAAGCTAGGATTAAACCAACCATTTTGCCACTTAGCTCAAGCGCTGCAAGTGCACTCCTGCCATCTTCGTAAGTCAAAAGTATCTGGTCCTCAACAGCCCTGCAAGGTCAACAGAGAAATTAGTGACACGCGGGTTTCAACCAAAATGCATTTACGCATCATAATATGTATAATACATGTCTTTAGAAGATAATTTTCCTGGGCAAAATAACTAAAAAGTAGAGGGGCCATCTCCTGTTCTTGCTGCTGCATGCCAATAGCTTTCTGTTTGGTTTGGATTAGAGAGGAGGCATGCATCGAAATTATTAGCCAAGTTTAGATTCGAAAAAACTCTTTAAGCCACTTTACCGAGAATTGGCTCACCTAATATCTGCGACGAATGGGCTATTTTCGACATCCACAAGTATTTTGATATATCATGATTCAATGACATGTATATTGGGCGAGGTCTCGTATTGTCTTATATTCGATAAATTGCATTACAATCCGTAACCAACCGACAAAGTAATGAGGAAAGATCGTTACCTGATCAAAACGATATCTCCACACTGCTGAAACAACTCCAGGGCATTTTCAACATTGATTTCGTAATCCTCTGGTAAATCACAAACACTATTATCAACTTCTATTACAACAGTTGGATTTGCAGGGCCAAGGGATTTCATCTTTTCATTGTGAACCTTGGCTAACTTCTTTTGATCCACGATTTGCAGTTGGATTGCAACAACAGCAATAACAGGCCTATCGCAAACAAACAATGAAATTAATTTTGCAACTAATTACAAGTTGAAATATATCTTATAATTACGCCATTTAAACGTTGTCCAACCTTGCAAGCACAGTTAGATATACTAACGGATATCACAGACGAATTCTACAGCTGGTTAAAATTATGGAGAGAAATTGAGAAAATTTTCGAGAACTTTTTAAGAATTCTTCCAACGAAATTCGAAAGTGTCAAACCTGTGATCTGAAGTTTTCAACTCGGCTCTGCCGTAATAAAGAATTCTGCCAGGGTTCCAGGCATTGAGCGGCTGAGCTGTAATAGCAAAGGGCATTGATTACACAAATTCTTTAATCTCGATATCAAAATAAGTTAACTATAAGCAAGCCAAGCACATTCTAGTTTATCGTGGTTTTTGACTAAGTTTGAAAAAAATTCATCAAACGACTTTGTAGTCGCAAAAATAATCTTTCAAAAATTTCTAAAAGTCGTTTGATTGGTTTCTTGTTATGATCAATCAGCTAACTTCTCACCTAGAATAACTTCTATATATCAAAAAATAGTTTTATGGAAGCCAGTTTTGGATATCTAGAAATTGACAATTCACAGGCCAAGCACCTGCGAGTGGCGATGTGCACATTGTAAATAAAGAAAACAGTTTGTTTCAAAAAGGTAATCAAAACAAATGTGGAAATTTCACAACAAATTACGTTTATTTGGTTGCTTAAAATTATGAGCTTGTTTTGATTTAATCTTATTTTTCGCGAATGATTTAAAAAAAGACTAGAGCAACCGTACCTACATCTCTCTTCTCGGTAACTGCGTCAACGTCTCCTTCCGTCTCGCGTTCCGCACTCGGTTCTACTTTCTTGTACTGCTTGCGATACCAAAGGACCCGGTCGGTCCACGCAGGGCAACGCATTTTCTCACTTGTGTCATAATCATCAGAGAACAAATCGTATTTGTAAGTTGGAGCAAATCTAATCGGTCCCTCACGAAAACTTTTGAAAACCTGTGAGAATTTGGGAGAAGGTTATTCCACAATCGCATGAAATAACTTCCATTGTTGGTTCAAATTAGCTAAAATACTAGGTAAAATGTCTTTGGGTGCAATGACTAATAACATAGTTTATCTTAAAATTGTAGCTCTTAGGTTTCCTTCAGCTGCTCATCGAATGCAAGGAAATGACAGTACAGAAGTAGAATCGTGAATACCTATCAAAGATGAGATTCCTCGATAAACTAAACTCGTTGCTACCAATGTTTAACAAATCTTGAAAGATTGCAAAGAAGTGTTCGCTCCTAAAGTGGCATCCTTTGAGAACAGAGGAACACACAGGACACACTCAAGATGGGCAGTTTCCTTCTTTCATTTTGGCATAAGAATTTCCTGACTGATTTGGTATCTGCAGACGAGTCGGCACTCACCTTTCCTTCTGCCTTTTGCACCGATAGCTGATCGCTTGCTCTTAATTCAGGCCAGCGTTTGTCTTTTATCATTGATTTCACTTCCTCATTAGGCAAGTCGATTCGGTAGTTGAAATCGCCGCACCAAAACACATAGTCGTGAGAAGACAGCACAGAGCCCTAGAAAATTTGAAAAAGGCGATCAACATAGGCAAATGCTTGGAATATATGAATCAAGCAAACTTCTTCCTAACGTAAAAAAATCAAGCCTAAAAGAGTCATACTTTTACGACCGTCAGTCTTTTTTTAAAAAATTCAGGAAAGTTTTAAAGTTTTGAAAAATTGCTTACCATAGGGAAGCTGATTCTTTTCGAAATGTCGTGATAATTACTGTTTCTCTCAGCAACATTGGACTGACCAGCTGCTAAGTGGGCGCAAACAAAGCACAGCGATGTTGAATGGAAAAGAAGGCGAATGGCGACGGCACCTTTGTTCCCTGTGCTCCCTTTTAAACCGGTTTTCACAGTGTCGACGGCAACGTCCCTGATCATGGCAGAAGCAATATTCTAGTATGTTACGATACAGAATAGGATATAACATTACCGACTGTAACAGTGGGGAGAATTTGCTGTCATATTAATTATGACTTTCATCTATTTCACTATCATCGTTATTCAACTCAGCAATAAGGTGCAATCAGATAAATATGATATTTTCTAAATGATCACGTAATCAAGCCGAATCTAAATTGACGTGGCATGGTGTTTTTTAATTGAAACTCACCTAATGAACGGCAGATGATGCACACGAACAAAGACATATAAACAAACCCCAACCAATTGCTCTGCAGTCAAGAGAACGTATGGATGATCCCTGGATATGACTCGCTGCAATTCAGATCCCCATTCCTTCTTCTGCGTTGAACTTCAAGCAAGAAAAAACCCAAGTAAAAATTTAGCATTCCCTCTTAATTTGTAGGAATTTGATGAAAAATCAACCAAGAATGTTTGGAAGGCCGAATCCACCGTTGCACCTGAACAATAAGACTGCCTCTGTTGCACTGTCAAGCGTTGGGGGTACATTAGAGCTGGGAGTACATTAGAGTTGGGGGTACATTAGAGTTGGGGGTACATTAGAGTTGGGGGTACATAAGAGTTGGGGGTACAATAGAGTTGGGGGTACAAGCGTTGTTGCTTTCTAGAAGTGGGTATAAAGAGGGCCCCGAGGCTTAATGGCAGCGTAGGGAGGGATGCAATAAGGAGCTCTCGCCGTAATAACTTCAGTGTCCAAGACTCATCGCCTCACACAACAAGGGGTGAATCACATAAACAAAACAAAAATATATATCTTATAAGCAAATTACTGGACGGAGCAAATAAAAGGTTGCTAAAACTATTCTACTAGTTTGTATCATCTTAAGTCCCATTGGTCCGTGAACAGATTATTCCACGGCTTCATAGTAGTCGGTAACTAAACATCGCATCAACGTTTTCAACGTCATTGAAATGAAGTGTCAATACCTGGTTGAGATGATGTTATTTGCATTCAAGTCCACAATCTCCTCGAATCCAAGTGCGTAGATATCAGGGGGTCGACTAAACTCTTCTTCTTTATCGAGAATTCCTTCTGGTGATTTCGCATAATAATCTAACAGCCAATCGTGCATCGACATGTGTTTGTAGGCAATGCTACGAAAATGCTTGCCTCCATTAACGTTCCAGGTCCCGCAGCACACACGAATTTCTGAGGTGTTCGTGAATACCTCGTGTTGGTAGCAGAGCTCCTTAAGAATTTTCGGTGATGCTGAAACAAAATTCGACGCTTATCACGTGGCAATAGCGGCTTTATTTGACATTCAAAACAGGGGAGAGAAAAATGCATTAAAGATACTACCAAGAAAGTTAGATATAAAGTTTTTGGATCGCTTCCCTGTCCCAGTATTTGCAAGTAAATTGATCAAAGCAGATTGCTAAGTTGCATACGAGCACAATCAAACTTTACCACAAATCTCATCAAAGACGCATAATTTTTTGATAAAAGTTTAAGGACAACTCACAATGCAAAAACGAGGCATTCAACAGCGCCCTTGCTCGTTCACCAATGCTTCCGATAAAGGTATTTCCAAGAAGAAGGATATCGATCGCTTCCTGTTTACTTCCATCTAAGAAGTTGTTGACGAAGGCTCTTTTAACTGACACTGCTCCGTCGTGAAACTTGCTTGCAAGCTGGAATTCAAGAAAACATATCAGGCTAAAGACACTGATTTGGGTTACTTTTGTAACAAAGAAGGAAATTTGAAGCAGGGAAAATGCAGAAAACGAGCATATGATACAGAAAGGGGGTGGGCTGTTAAAAATAACGTTCACCTTATTTCTCATCTTCATAAGACATCTGCATGTCACGAATAGAACTAAAAGAAATACTACACAGGGTCCCCCACTCTTTGAGAGTGTCAAGCACTGTTACAGCCTTAAAAAAGCCTGCTCTCTCATCCAAAAGATATAAGCTACGAAAATAACTAATGATACAAGACTGAACTTTTTCATCATGAATAGCTCTAAGGTAAAACGAAAACTTACAGTTCCCTTGATGCCGCTATCCAAAGCTCCGGTTCCAGAATAAAGTTTGCTGATTTGATCTCCATTTTGCAGCCACATGCTTTTGTACACTTCTTGGAATCGAGAAGGGATTGATTTATCGGTTAGGCCAATGCTTGCAAGCTGATCAACAAGAACCTGGGATTACAGAAACAAATCCAGTTAGGTCTCGAGATGGAAACAATATTTCAAGCAATGCTGCAGGAGGATCAAAATACTGCCATACGAGAAACTTTATTGTTTTAGAACATGTTCGCAGTTATCTTGACTTATACTAACAAACTCCAGAATTACACATACAGAATCATCTTAAAACCTTGAAACCTAGAGCACTTATTTTGGAACATTCTAACTCTAAAGAAACTGTTCTAAAAATTTTCCTATTTAGCATCTAGTTAAAACAAGATTTTCTTGGGTTGGAAGCACAAACATAAGAGACAACGCACCGTCTGGCCAAATCTGGTTTGAACTGCGTTTGTGCGATCTAAGCAATCGACACAGTTAGTTCTGATTGTTCCAATTTGTGACCTAAAAGGTGAGTTTAGTTTCGATTTATAGATAGCCTAAGCATTATAAAAAAATGAAATAGAGTGTACAACTCTGACAATGATCAATCAAAAAGGTAGTTTGGGGATGCACAGAAAAGTAGAAGCATTATGTAACTTTCTTCTAACATTCCTTAGAGTACGACAGGCTGACTGTTAACGGAAAAATCAAGGCAAAGTAGCTACAGACTATGTCAACAGAAACTGATAAAAGAAGATTTTTTATTTAATTGGAAATAAGTGTATAAACGTTTTCATTTTCCCATGTCACCCAGAAAAAATTTTAAATAATGGCATAAAAATTTTTCAACCATTAACTGGAACCATCAAAAAGAGAATATTTAAAAAAAAAACAAAAACTGCTACCCTAACAGCACAAATGATTGTCAAAATTAGCACACTTTGATCAACAAAACAAAAAATCCAGCCAGTGTCTCAGAGCACATGATCAGTAGTTGACAGTATAAAAACATACTGTAAGGAGACTACATAATACGTATACGTAAAACTAAACATTTCTAACATCCCAATGGGTGTGAGAATGACTCAGTAGTGTTACGAACTACAAATTCAAGGGTCTGTGGTTCGAGGTCTGCCATGACGAAAATTTCTCATAAGGAATAAGGAAAGTAACCAGCTCTTTGTGATTCCATGCGTAGGAATCATGAGGTGTCATTGCACCCTGAGGAAAGTCCAGGACACTGCTTGATAAGCATGGCTTTTCAAGCTTCCTAACACTTCCTTCACAAGATATGTAGTAACAAATACAAGTATATTGCCAACATAATTGAAATTTTTATTTTAATTGAAGAACTTTACTTACTTAACGATTTCATCACCAGTGAAAGCAAAGAATCCAAAATTATCAACAGAGGCCTGAGCTTTGTCAACCAAACTTTTCAAATTTTCAGTCTTGCCTCCTCGACAATGATAATGATAATCAAACATTATGATATGAGTATCAAAGCTGTGGCAGGATGCCTTCAAGTGGTCCTACAGCATAAAGAAAACATTAAGACAAAATTAGGAGTCATAAAATCTTTCACAAAATGTTCATACTTTTTCCATCAGAATCCATTCATCTGATTCTGTATGATCCTCCTCTTCCTTTTTTTCTATCATTTTTCCCTATTTCCTGTCTATTTCATTCTATAATTTTATTTGTTAATTGATTCATTTATTCTGTTTTTCTTTCTTTCTGCTTTTGTCCATTCTTCCTCTCCTTTTTATTCTTTTTTCCTTGTCTTTCCTTGACAATGGATTGCATTTAAACAATAAAAATGACCGAATGGAAAATGAAAGCTACAAAACATGAGTTTATGTCTAAGATGGTATAAAACAAACCCAAACAAGAAACATCTTAACACAATCTTCTTAATACTCTGAAACAATGTCTGATTTTTGAGGACATTTTTGTTATGTGGATTGATGGATGCAAATTACCTTGTATGCTGTGCTTAACGAATGTTCCCCTTCCTTTCTGCCAAGCAAATTTACCAAAAGCTGATACCCATAAATGGATTTGAGACTTGCAAGATGCCTGAAATCAAAATAAACTCCACATAAATATAATCTTCAAAAGGAATTTACTATCTGTATGTACCTCCCTACCTTCCTTCACTTTACCAAAATGCAAATAAATTTAAAAAATATAAGTAAAACTTACATTAAAGTAAAATAATTCCTTAAGTAATAACTCCTTAAGTAAAAATAATTCCACCAAACAAATCTATTTCCCTGCATATTTTGATATTTGAAAATTTTTTGACTTAGAATATAACTGAATAAAATTATAGTACCAAGCTATAAAATCATTTCTATATAAATATTACCAATAATTTCAACAACACACTGATAAGAAACATTTAAAAAAGTATCTAGAAATTTTTCGTTTGAAGACTCGAAAAAAAGATCACCTTTCAAAAGCAGGAGAGGATGCTTCATGTCCACGAGAAAATTTTATTTTGTGTGAGCCAACTTGGACACCAGGCTGCTCCCAAAATACTGGCACTGATCCTCTAGTTTGAACAAAAGATGTCTCACAATCATCCAGAAGAATAATCTAGAATAAATACAGGGGCCTATTTAATGAACTAAGACTAAAAAATACCTTGCAGCAAGCTTTGGTGTCTAAAGAATGAAGAAGAAGTTGAAGAGAGAGCTAAAGGAAACTCTTTGATACACTTGTGATTTTAAAAAAAAAAGCATAGCCACTACAGACAAGTTTTCCATACAAACCTGTTCCGTTTCAACAAAATTAGCCACATGTCCATCATCATTTGTTCCTCTTACATTGAATCTTGTTCCAGCTCTTTCACAGCTAAGTCGTGATATCAAACAAGCTTTGGCTTGACTACTGCCAACATACACTGTACGGATTTGAATGTAGCCACACATAATTCTAACAAGCCATTCATTGCAGTCAATGTTAAACCTTTGCAAATGTAAGTGGAGGGCATGGTTCCTAAAAGCACAAGAAATACCAAAATCTAAAATTAGAATCATTCATAACAGAAACCTAAATCATCAAAATATTACATTTCAAGATTTTAAAATTTGTTGACACTAAAAGAACTCTAGGCTTCTTGAGAAAAAACTTGTCAAAAGTATTTTGTTTTAAACTCGATAATTTTTATGAATAGCCAATACTTCCAAGACAATCTGTAACCATACCAACATGGATTCTAGTATACTTTCATGTGCAAGCTTGAGCCTCCATTGAAATTGAAAAGGGTAACTGTTGTAAGATGGTACAAACAAATAAGAAAGTTCCATGAATATTGGAAGCTGCCAGATACAAAGAATTGGTATATTAGTTAGTAATAAATCAAGAGACAAAAGTTATGTTCATACCAAAAGAATCTGCTGTCTGGTTGTTCTTGTAAATGCCTTCTCTGAGCACAGAGACTAAGATCAAATGTATTATTGCCATTTGCTGAGCAAGAAAAGAAGAAGTTGCCAGAGGAAAGAAGCTTCTGGACATCTGCAACACGAGCAACAACTTCAGTGCTTTCTTGAAGTTGTAAATGTATGCAAGATGTTATTCGAAACACTTCATGCTCATTTATCTTGCCAACTGATGAACAACCATCAACAAAGAATAGAAATATGAAATACTCATCACCTGGAGAGAAAAAGAAATCACAAAAGGAAATGGTACAAGACAAAGATGTAACCAATTATCATTTATACTTTGATTTATACAACCATAAATGTGACTAGAGAAAATGGTTAAATTGCAAGAGATAAAAGTTGCATTCTGCAAAGAGGAGGGATGATTCACTGCATGCATCAAGTGATTGGTATAATTAACATAGGGGTCACCAGTGGCTGGTGGCTTTTCATGGCAAACGCACAATAATTTCAGGTATAGGAAAGAATTTACAATAAATTGGTTGTCAATTTTTCTCTTTGTCATCTCAAAATTTAAAATATCGAGTTTATCCCAAATGTATAACATGAAAAACAGAAAAAAAAGAGAGAACATAACCACATACCAATATGAAGTTTTAATGCACCTATAAATACATAAGCATCAAATGCCTTTGTGTATGATTTTTTAATTTCATCAGTTTCCAATTGCTCTACAAATATGAAACAACAATAAGAATTAGAACATTTAACAACAGAAGAGATCAGATTTTATGAAAATTAATCATTCTTTCTTTAGATACTTCCCTTTGATGTTATTTTGATAATGCTCATAAGTTAAAATTCACAAGATATTAGAAAATGGACATTCAGAATTGCTGCTTGATGTGTTGGTGTTGTGTAAAGTGCTAACGTATCAATCACTGTGAAACTGTACACATATTTCCTAGCGTGGAGTTTTCGATCTATGTTCTGACGTTTTAAACTCTGAAGAGTGTCAGACGAAAAGCTTTAGTTTACTAAATGTTTGCTTTTTTCAAAGCCATTTACAAGTTTTGTACCACAGAAAGATTGTTTGTACACATTTTATGAAATTTCAATCCTAGAAATGAATCTTTAAACTAAAACTCTCTGAGACTTCTGATACCTTAAACAAATAAAAAACGAGATCATAGAAACATCTGTTTGTTAAAAATAATCATAGTTACCCAATTCTGCAACAACACCCTTTTCAAAAAGCAGGGTCCCTCCCTTCTGTTTATGTTCCAATAAAACTGACACTGCACCATCTGAAACTTTCTTGTAACATAAAAAATTTCTCCCGATGATCATGTTTTCAGTGGAAATGAACAAACTCTATTCCACGTCCTTTTTGTCGGGCAATGACAATGATTTCCCTCTAATTCAGGGAAGTCGGTTCTTATAGGGCCTAACAACTTCTTGCGGATCAGTGCATATTTCTTGGTTTCAGAAGCCACATCTTGCATTATTGATTAACCATATTACTAAAGCTTTATAATTTGACTAAAGGAAATGCAATTGTAATGTTTGCATTGAAGAATTACACTTTCTGAAATCAAACATTCTCACAAACATCACTGTTTCTAATTCCATTTCAATATGTTTCTTCATTCGATTTGTTTCCTTTTCTCCTTCGCCGCTTCCTTCGCTGTTTCCTTCGCAGTTTCTTCCATAACAGCACAGATCTCACCCCAAGTTAAAATATATGTTTAAAATTCACAAGCCTCAAATTCTTACTAAAATCCATGTAAAACCAAATAATTTGGTCATGACTGAGATTGCACTGTGATCCAAATTTCAAATTAGATCAAACTTATAAAGGACAAATTAAAGACCCTACACTCTCTAAAGATTGATCGACAGCTTAGCTTTTAAATCATTTTACGATGATTCTAATTTAGTTATTATAATCATCTTTCAAAGCATACTCAGAATATCCATTCTTTAGCTGAACAACTGGCAGAAATGCATAAGAAAATCAAATAATTTTAACTTCAAATAAGTAAGATATAAAGTGAAAAATGAATAGCGTGTTTTTAATATTTTGATCGTATATTCGGCCCTTTTGTAAATAATTAACGAATTTGATTGCAACATTTTGTTATTCTTTCGAGAGCATTAGAAAAGATTGAGCTTAAGCCTTCATTTTAGTTCTTCAGTAATTAATCAAAGACTAAAGTCATGTTTGTAGAAGTTGACCTGTCAGGATGGAAGCTTCTCAAAGGGAAGAGACTTGATAAATATTTCCACTTATAGGGTAGCAGCTAAGTTGTTACGGTTCATTCGACGGAGGGGGCAATTCGAAGATTTACTGTACCCTTTTTCATACCATTAAAGTTTGTGGCAGTTGTTCGTGACGTCACTTTACATCCGGGAATTAACGGTTTGTTTTCAGCGGGCAAGATTCGTTTCTTCGTTTAGTGGTCGGTGTAAACAAACATGTTGTCTATGAAAATGTTAAGCAAATAAAAAAGAGAAGATGAACAACAAATTTCGCGAGGTAATTTTTAAGATATTTTTAAGATTATCGTTCCTCACAAACCATTTGCAGTAAATATTCATTTGATATCTTACAGAAATCTAACAATCTTTACTGTTCTAACCTTGATGAAACTATTGATTTCCTGGCCTACGTACAATACGGATAAATACCTGCAGGCAAAGATATATTATTGAATTAATAAAGACAAATTTCAATAATGTAACACTTAAATTTCAATTTTTGCAATTGAGTATTTTACAGCATCATTTCTGTGATTTCTGAAAGGATGTAAGAGGTTGATATTAAATTTATGTTGATCATTCAGTCAAAATTGCAATTTGAAATAACCAAGTGATTAATTTTCAAGTTCTGATCAGAATTTTTGTGGCTGACGAAGAAGCAAACCTGTTTTATCTTTTACATTGCTGATAAAATTTGCGATACCTGTTTCAGAGGCATTTTTCGCCAAACAGAAGCAAAACAAACTGATTCTATTTAACTTTCTTTCATAGAGTGCCTTTAAAGTTCGGAGGTTGGCTGGGGCTATATCTAAACTTGGCCCTGGTCCTGGAAAAAAGCAAGAGGCAACTGTGGAAAATGAGACAGCAAATGTTGAGAAAAAAGTTCGGAGTTTCAAAAATGTAAGCATACAACTATTGGCTTATTCTTTTTTTAGTTTTAATTTTTAAAACTGCTTTTAAAACTTTAATTTTTAATTTTAATGGCTATCCAATAAAAGACCTTTCACAAACGTATGGATTTTGTACATTTTTATGGAAAATTTGTCGAATTTGAGTTTTTTATTCCAATTAGTTTGCTAATCTGCTGCTGTAACCTCAGTTAGTATCGTTTGCTTTAAATTCACGCAAGACACCTTTATGATGCTGCACTTGACCAACGTGCCATAAAATAGTTCATTCAATGTAAATAAAAATTGTCAAAATTTAGTTTGAAGAATCCGAGTTCTTCTAAAGACCTTTGTAAATTTTTTCACGAAAAGGTTGCAAATGAAATTCGACTTAAACAGAAGATTATGTCAGCATTTGCAGACGAAATAAAACCCCAGCTGAATTTGAGCGGTTTTCGAACCGAAGGCGAACGAGCTGCCGACAAAGAAAAAGAAATAACAGTTGAGGACGAAAAAAAGAATATATTGAAAGATTTGCCAGAGATGAACGATGACGAATAAGTTGAGTTTGTTTCAACAGAACTGGCAGGAAGATTTTAAACAGCAAAATATTTCGAAGGGGTATCATGGCCGTGATTATAACAGAACAGTATTATGATTGCCATTGAAACCAATGAAAAACTGGTAGGTATTTAGCTGAGTTTAACGTGTTTTAACATGGAGAGTATTTCATTTTGATTAATTTCCTTATCTTTTGGGGATCATCATCACTTAAACATGTACTTTACAATGACCAACTTGCAGGCCGAAGAAATTTAATGGCAATTATGATTAATTCTGTGAAAGATTCTGGATGTTTAAAGTGATTTTATCAAATAGCACTGTGGCATATAGCCCTGTCTAATTGACAACAAAAACACATAAAGTGAGAGCTTTGACAATTTCAATTTAATCCTCGTATGTTAGCAATTACATCTTGGTATATTCAATATTCAATTTACAAGGAAAGCAGTATAGTCATATTTTCACGATCATGGATCAATGCATGATGACTGTGTTTGTCTGTGAAATCCTTACCAAATGGTACCATGGCTTCATGAAGTTCTGGACACAAAGGATGGAACATACTTGATTTCTTCATCGTCGCTCGCTTCTTTTTGGCCACGTGAGTCTAGTTAGCTAGTTTTAATGTATTTTCACTTAGAGAATTGGTCAGAAATTAATCTTTTTAAAGTTAATGCTTGATATGAGTCAGGTAATAGCGTATTTTTCATTATAAAATTATTTTTATCAAAAAGTTTTTCATAAAGGTTCCTTGAAAAAACAACAGCTGCTTAAAGACTTCAATCTTTGAAAAATTTGAATAGAGAGAAGCCGTCTCTTTGCTTGCTGTTATAAGCAAAATTTGGATACATAAAATGACTACATTCATAAAATGCATTCCATAGACAGTGGTTCATTTTCAAACCATTTTTTGACACAATCAAGCAGTAGAAGCGGTAGAAAAAACTTGCATGCAGGGACAGCTGCGCCTGGATTTTCGGCCACACAAGGATTGAAAACGTTGTTTTTTTTCTTCTATGAGAATTTACCATCCTCGTGCCTTA